ACGTGGCAAAAGGCCGCTCTGATTGGCCTTTTACCTCATCATGTGATTAGACTTGTCTGTAGGACACAGTGATCATTGACAGCGCCAGGTGCGCGCCGCTGGGGGCACGCGGGAAGGTGTGTTTCTGGGAGAACATCATATGACGCCCTCCCAGAACTGGACAACTGCGCTGTAGCCATGGTTGTGAAGTGGTTAACCCCTGTTAACGGGTGGCCCCTGTAAGCAAAGCAACATATGGGTACTTCACTACCTACCTCTGGGTTTCAGGGGCACGCTCACCCCCCCCCCCCGGTGCACCCACTGTGATTGTACACAGTGGGTGTCTGTCAGCAAGCCCTGCAATGATTCACGCCTGGGACCTGTTGATCGGCTGTGTGACATTCAACACAGAGCTCTGTACATAGGGAACAATCAGTCTGTTTATCATCTATGAGAAACTGATCGATTGTTGAGTAAAAGCAGCACACTTTACACATAGTTAAGACACACATTTAACCCCTGATCACCCTAGATGTTAACCCCTTCCCAGCCAGTGTCGTTAGTACAGTGACAGTATAAAGTATTATCATTGACCACTGTATTAGTGTCACTGGAGATGTCAGTGGCAGTTAGTGTCAGATTGCTCGTCACACTCCCGCAGCCCCATTATAAAATCGCCGATAGTCACCATTAGTGGTATACACATAATCCAGCATATATTTCCATAGTAGGTGTTATAACTTATATGCAAACCCATCAATATACACCTACTAGGAATTTTTTTTATCAAAGAAATAAAATTTTTTGTTTTGGATATGTTTTATAGCAGAAAGTAAAAAATATAGTTTTTTCAAATATTCTGTATTTTTTCATTTATTTTGCAAAAAAAATAAGCAAAAAAGCAATGATCAAATACCACCAAAGGAAAGCTCAATTTTGTGTGAAAAAATATATATACATTTTGTTTGGGTACAGCGTTGCATGATCGCGCAATTACCAGTTAAAGCAGCATAGTGTGTGGTACAGCAAAAAATGTCATGAAGGGGGTAAAATCTTTCTGAGCTGAAGTGATTAAACTGTCACTAAAGGCAAACATTTTAGTTTTAGTTTTGGATAGATTAGAGAGGGATTAGAATCCCTAGCAGTTTTTATTGCTGTCTGTGCTCCTGTCAAGGAGATCACCCTTTCTATATGTCTGGTTTACCATTGTCATTAAAAGCAAAAAAAATAAATAAATCACAAATTTTGGGTTCACACCAGAACAGTAAGAGGGGAAATCTTCCAATGGGGACACTCCAGGATTCCCTCTCACTCACCTGTTTTGGCTATGGAACAGAAAGTGAAGGGAAATCTCCGCAATGAGACACAGATGGCAAAAAAAAAACCTACAGGGGTTAAAACCCCCCCTTGCTTTATACAAAAATGAACAAGAACATTTTGCATTTAGCAACACTTTAAGGCTGCACTCAAACCTGCGAATGCACCCTGCCTGTGATTAAATACAAGAGCTTGAAAGCACTGGTTCCCGTTGCTAATTGTTGCCACTCGCATTGTAATTGCTCATGCAACAATCACATGTGCATGATAGCTGCTTGACAGTTTACATGTGAGTGGGCGCAAATAGCTGTGAGAGCCAACAGCCTCCCACTGCATTCAATGATGCCGCCTACTAGTAGATAATTGCGAGAACCCCTTCTGGGGAGAGTGCATACGAAGGTGTGAATGTACCCTAATGAAGAAACAAAAGACATTATTACCCTCTGGTGTCAAGCTCCTCTATTTCTCTTGATCCTTTACAGCAGGGCTCAACAAATCCCAGGCGCCTGGGGTTTTGTCAGCCTCCGTACCTCCCACCCATCCTAGGACTTGATGCAAGTCCCGGAATGCAGCCCAAAGATGTTTTCCTGTATACAGACAGAAGGAGGAGCCAAGGAGGAACAACTTTCTACTTGTGCCCCAGGGAAGGGGGAGGGGGGCGTTTGGGATGGAGGGACACAGTGACTGGGAAGGGGGTGGCAGGTAACAAGGGTGTAAGAGGATATGTTCTGGAAGGGGATAGAACCTGGGTTAGAGGGATACTGGAGTTGAAACCCCCCCAACCCACCTTCTAGTACCTTCAAGTCTTCTCCCTTCCCAAAGCACCCCCAGTACATATCTGACCCCCCTCCCAGAACAATTCTGCGTCCCTCCCAAAGTACCCCCCAGTATGTACTTGACCCCCCCCAAGCACAAAGTTCACTCCCCTCCAAAGCAGATGACCACCCACACCAACTTCTAGCAGAATTCCTTTCCCCTCCCAAAGCACCCCCCCCCCCCCCCAAAGTACATATCTTACCCCCCCTCCCCACACCCAAGCACAAGTCCAGACTCCTCCCATAAAGCATCTCCCCAGTAAATATCTAACCCCCCAGCACAATTTCACACCCCTCCCAAAGGACCCTCCCCCATATATAGTTGACCCCCACAGCACAAGTTCACTCCCCTCCCAAAGTGCCCCCCAAGCACTTTTCCACCCCACCTTGTAGCACAAGTCCTCTCCCCTCCCAAAGCACCTCCCAGTACATATCTTAACACCCCCCCCCCCAGCACAAAATCCAGACCTCTCTCAAAAGCACCTCCCCAGAATGTTTCTGAGTCAACTTCTCTTCCAAAGTGCCCCCCCAAGCACATATCCACCCTCTATCTTCTAGTAAGAGTTATCTCCCCTCCCAAAGCACTCCCCCTGTATATATCTGACTCCCCCAGCACAAGTCAATGCGCCCCCCCAGCACTTATCCGATCCCCTCCTCTGCCTCACCTTCTAGCACAAGTACTGTCCCTTCTTAAAGGCCTCCCCCCCAGCACACATCTCCTCCGCCCCACCTTCTAGCACAAATCCTCTCCCCTCCCAAAGCACCCCCCTCCCCCCAAGTATATCTCTGACCCCCACTCTATCCCACATTCTAGCACAGTCCTCTACCTCCCAAAGGCCAATTAAGCCACTCCCTGTAAAGTTTGACCACACCCATAAAAAAGGCTTCTAACGTCTTCAGCTGGCTCCTAGATTCAAAGCACATTTGTCAAGCCCTGCTTTACAGACGGTGAAGCTATCACTCTACCCCCAACAGATGGTACCTAGCCCCAGTCAAGATTTGATGAAGGAACAGAATAAGGGTTCACGTTGCTGTGCATTCTAGTTACATTTTCCATTAAAAAACATGCAAATGTCTTTAAATGGAAAACAGTTTTTGTCATTAAAAAGCTATTTTGTCTGTTTTACTAAAGTTCGAAACAATGTTTACTAGGAAGATCTGCATCTACAAAAACACAAAGCAGGGCAAACACAACTCCTGAACTACCCAGTGTACTGCTCAGTTATAGCCAATGGGATTCTGCTCACCTGCATTCGATATCTGTTCAAAAAGGGTTTTACAGCTGGTTCACACTGATGCAGGGTGGAATTCGCAGCGTTTTCAGTGAAAACTCCGCACCGCATCAGAATCGTATATCGTTCATGCGAACCGACACGGGCGTGTATGTTACGTAAACAACACCCCAAAAGCGGTTCTCAAAACGCGGTGCGATGTGCAGAATCGGAACACATAGGTGTCAATACCCATGCGATCCGATTCTAGTGCGGACCCAAAAAAGGGTCCTGCACGTTTTTGGTGTTGGAGCGGTGCGAACAGAGCCATACAAAACGTGTGGTTCCAATCACACCGCACACAAATCGCATGTGATTTGCACAGGAATGCGGTGCAGTTCCTGTGCGAATCACATGCGATATACCGCACCGCACTGATGTGAACGCAGGCTTACAGAGGAACCTTAAAGCGGAATTCCAAGCATGGTATATTTTTACTTAGTTACATTGGTGAAGCTTGGACCAATGTAACTATATATAGATCATACCTGACCAATGTCCCTGGAAGCTGGAAATCACTGAAGTAGACACCACTATCCCAAAGACACCACTATTCCAGCGATCTCCACTGGCTTCCAGGTCCTGTGCCAAGTGACTGGCTTGATGAATTCTGAAAACAGGAGGTTGGCAGCTCAGCATGGTTCACAGAATGCTGTGCATTTCCTGAATGAATGTAAAGTGACTGGATGACCACTGCCCCACCTCTCCACCTCATCCAGTCAGAGCACACTCTGTATTCACTCAGAAAATGCACAGCATTCTGTGAATGGCGCCTGTGCCAAGCAGCAGACCTCCTGCGTTCAGAATGCAGCAAGCCAGCCACTTGGAGCAGGACCTGGAAGCAAGTGGAGATCACTGGAGTAGCGGTGTCTACAGCAATAATTTCCACATTCCATGATCAGCCAGGTATGGCACACACATACTTCAGTGGCTAAATGGTTAGCACTTCCGCCTGGCAGTACTAGGGTAATCGGTTTGAATCCCAATCACAGCACCACCTGCCTGGAGTTTGCATGTTCTCCCTGTGCCTGCGTGGGTTTCCTTCGGGTTCTCCGGTTTCCTCCCACACTCCAAAGATATGCTGGTAGGTTAACTGGATCCTGTCTAAACTGGCCCTAGTATCTGTATGTATGAATGTGAGTTAGAGACTTTAGATTGTACGCCCCTTGAGGGTTAGGGACTGATGTGAATGAGCAATATATATGTAAAGTGCTGCATAAAATGATAGCGCTATATAAGTACCTGTAATAAATAAAAATAAACAGTTCCATTGGTCCAACCTGGAACAATGTAATTATGTAGAAAATACAGTATTCATACCTGGAAATATCTCATTTCAAATGAATCTTCTCGATTTTTAATCTGCTACTTATGATCTACAGCTTTTCTACTATCTCTAGACTAGAAATCTTTAGGAAACACTAGAAGACAAATAAAAGGTGAGCGGGCCTTTGCAAAAAATATTAAACCGCTTGCCGACCATGCACTAGTAGCCTTACTGCTACAGTGCGGGACATCTGTGCAAAATCATCTCTATATACGTGTTTTTGCTTTTCCGGGTAGGGTGCGTGCGCCAGCCTACCTGTGCTGTCATTAGCTCCCTGACATGCCGATTAGCAGATCTCGGCAGATGATCCATGGCTGGGACTTGTCGATCATTGGTGCTAGTGACAGGAGAGAGAGATCTGTGTCAGTAGACACAGAGCTGTTTACTGACAGCGGGGATGTGTGTCTGTTTTTGTTTCCCTGCAAAGCCCATCCTGTCACTGCCCACCGCAGTCTCTGGTCAGCCCTGTGCTGTCCGCAGTCTGGTCATCCCTGTGCTGTCCGCAGTCTCTGGTCATCCCTGTGCTGTCCGCAGTCTCTGGTCATCCCTGTGCTGTCCGCAGTCTCTGGTCATCCCTGTGCTGTCCGCAGTCTCTGGTCATCCCTGTGCTGTCCGCAGTCTCTGGTCATCCCTGTGCTGTCCGCAGTCTCTGGTCATCCCTGTGCTGTCCGCAGTCTCTGGTCATCCCTGTACTGTGTCCGCAGTCCCTGGTCATCCCTGTGCTGTCCGCAGTCTCTGGTCATCCCTGTGCTGTCCGCAGTCCCTGGTCATCCCTGTGCTGTCCGCAGTCTCTGGTCATCTCCTGCACTGTGTCTGCAGTCCATTAGTTCAGAATTTTTTTTTTTCCTGTTTTCTGCCTCTAAAACCTAGGTGCGTCTTATGGGCAGGTGCGTCTTATACGGCAAAAAATACGGTACTTTATATACACTTACTGGGATGCATTTTACCAAAGATGTAGCAGAATACATTTTGACCTAAATTTATGAAGAAATTTTATTTTTTTAATTTTTGGTCTTTTTTTTTTTTTTTATAGCACAAAAAAAGAAAAAAAACAAAAAAACAGTGGTGATCAAATACCACAAAAAGAAAGCTCTATTTGTTTGAAAAAAAAAAAATAATATAAATTTCACTTGGGTACAGTGTTGCATGACTGCGCAATTGTCACAAAATGGCTTGGTCATAAAACGGGTAAATCTCCCAGTGGTTAAATCAGCCTCTCTCAACCTGGGTGCCGTCTGGGGGCATCAAGGGTGCCATGACATCTTTGTTGAAATAGGCTGTCAGACTTGACCAAGCTCCCGCTCCCTGAACTGTGTTACACATCGGCAGGAAGCTCGCAGCGGATGGTTCAATGACGAGCAGCGGAAGGGGGAGGCGGCTCCCTGTGTCCTGAGCTCTCCGTCGTCCCCTATAGGGCAGCACCTTGTGCCAGTGCAAGGCTATGAAAATATACAGGAACTGGTTAGGAGGGGAGAAGTAGCAGAGGTATGTGCCGAGTCTGCAATCATCCGCCGATGCAGAGCTACACTTGGCAGCCAGCCATATGCACTTGCAGTTCACTAGCCTGGCCACACTGCTCACTCAGCCAGCCTTGTTGTTTGTAGTGGAAGAACGGCCCTGCCCTGGGGATCTGGTGAGAGGAAAGCAGGGAACAGAGAGGATCAAAAGGGAGGGCAGAGGCTTGCATGCAGAAAGAGTGGGGTACAGAGGTGAGCAGTGAGGGGCTTTGGGGTACAGAGGTGAGCATAGAGGGGTTTGGGGTACAGCGGTGAACAAAGAGGGGGGTTTGGGACATAGAGGGATATAGCAGAGAGGGCATTTTTGGGTACAGATGTGAGTGGGGGAGGGGGGGGGGGTAGGGGTACAATGAGCAGAGAGAGTTGGGGTAAAGAGGTGAGCAGGAAGCAGGGAGTTTGGAGGTAAGCAGAGAAGGGGTTTGGGCATACAGAGGTGAGAAGGGAGGGGGTTAGGATACAGAGGTGAGCAGAGAGAGAAGGTATGGGGTACAGAGGTGAGCAGAGAGAGAGAGAGGTATGGGGTACAGAGGTGAGCAGAGAGAGGTATGGGGTACAGAGGTGAGCAGAGAGAGGTATGTGGTACAGAGGTGAGCAGAGAAATGTATGGGGTACAGAGGTGAGCAGAGAGAGGGGTTTGGGGTACAGAGGTGAGCAGAGAGAGGTATGGGGTACAGAGGTGAGCAGAGAGAGGTATGGGGTACAGAGGTGAGCAGAGAGAGGTATGGGGGTACAGAGGTGAGCAGAGAGAAATGTATGGGGTACAGAGGTGAGCAGAGAGAGGGGTTTGGGGTACAGAGGTGAGCAGAGAGAGCAGGAAGTTTAGGGTGCAGAGAGAGCAGGAAGGTTAGGGTACAGAGGTGAGCAAAGAGAGCAGGAAGTTTGGGGTACAGAGGTGAGCAGGGAATTTGGGGTACAGAGGTGAGTAGAGAGCAGGAAATTTGGGGTACAGAAGAGCAGGAAGTTTTGGGTACAGAAAGTGAGCAGAAAGGGGGGTTTGGGGTTTTGTGGTAGAGGGGCGAGCGGGGGGGGGAGTTAGGGATACAGATATAAGCATAAAGGGGGGAGGGGGGTTGGGGTACAGAGGTGAGCAGAGAGAGGGGTTTGGAGTACAGAGGTGAGCAGGAAGTTTAGGGTGCAGAGAGAGCAGGAGGTTTAGGGTACAGAGGTGAGCAATGAGAGCAGGCAGTTTGGGGTACAGAGGTGAGCAGAGAGCAGGAAGTTTGGGGTACAGAGGTGAGCAGGGAATTTGGGGTACAGAGGTGATTAGAGAGCAGGAAGTTTGGGGTACAGAAGAGAGCAGAAAGTTTTGGGTACAGAAGTGAGCAGAAAGGGGGGTTTGGTGTTTTGTGGTACAGGGGCGAGCGGGGGGGGGAGTTAGGGATACAGATATAAGCATATGGGGGGGGGGGGGAGGTTGGGGTACAGAGGTGAGCAGACAGGGGGTTCTGGTACAGCGTTGAGCAGAGGGGATTTGGGGTACAGAGTTGACCAGAGGGTGTTTGGGGTGCAGAGGTAAGCAAAGAGGAGGATATGGAGGTGAGCAGAGAGGGGGTTTGGAGTGTGGAGCTGAGCACCCCAATATGGAGGTTCACATCTGTGCTGCTGAGTGCATTCATTTCAATGGGCTTCGCCACAAATACACAAGGAAAAAAGTCCCCGATCATTTTTTTTTAAAATCGCGCTGCACCGAAAACACACTGCATTTGCCAATGTCTGGGGGTACTATTAAGAATGAATGACACCCCTGTGCATCTGCTAAGGAGCAGCGTGCTTGTCTGTGTGTTGTGATGCGTGCAATTTGGATATGCATAATGTGAAGCAAGCCTTGAATTGGGGTGCCTTGAGACTGAAAACACTTTTCAAGGATGCCCTGATGAGAGAAAGGTGGAGAAACACCGGGGTAAACAATAGGATCTTGTTCAATAAAAACATCTAGGAAAAGACCTGCCCGACCCTCAGTAAATAGGAGAAATCCCTGTAGCTGATCTTATTAGACAACAAGCAGCCGCTGTCTCTAGTACATGTTTCAAGGGCAAACCCTCTTAACCAGAGCGAGTTTCCATACACATTATCCAACTTTAAATAGCCAACACTGCTGCCTTCCATCATCCATTCAGAAAACGCCCACGGGCTATGTTTTATTTATTACACTACTGTGTCTGCCACCAAATGCTGCACACTACTTCCCAACAGATAGTCACAGTACCAGTCGTTACTATTGCTTAATAAAGGTTTTGTGAAGGGGTCACGTAACACTGGTGCACAGTTTGTCCTATAGCGTTTATGTATTTGCTGTGGACAGCAAATGGTTAAACGTACTGCACTTCAAGGGGTTAAAAAAAGCTGACAGCAGCCGCATTCAGTAAAAGTAACCCATGTGACTGCTGAGCCACCCAGTTACAGTACCATTCTGTGCTTATTCAGCTGAAATGGAGGGTAGGGCTGACATTGGGGGGGGATCTAATAGACTGAGAGCTCCATAAAGAGAACTTGTCACCTGCCCCTCTTACATAAAGGGCTTGTTAGCCCCCTTGGGACAGCAAAGATAAATGAAAGTGTTCAAAATTTAAAGTGTTAAAGTTATTGTACAGTAAAATGAAGAAAAAAAAATTTGAAAACACAAACTCATGGCCTTACAGACAGGTGTGAATGCAAAATGCACACATAGGACACACACGTGTATGTACAGTGATTGCATCACACACGTATGTTATCGCCGCAGAAGTGAGAGCAATAATTCTAGGGCCATAAATCACAGATTACTGTAAATTGATGAGCTGTAAAGGCCTGTAAAGTATTGCCCACAATTTCGGTACTGTCTTATTTTGCCATTTCAAGGGTGTGCACCTTAAGGGTTGACATGTTTGGTGTATATAAACACAAGTATAGCATACAGGTATATGCAAAGAATAGAAAGTAGTAGTACACCGAAATTAAAATTCAGGATGTGCACCGAAATGGACAGTTAAAACAAAAAAAAAAAAATTTTTTTTATTTATATATACAGTGAAGGAAATAAGTATCTGATCCCCTACTGATTTTGAATGTTTTACCACTCACAAAGAAATGATCAGTCTAAAAATCGAATGGTAGGTGTATTGTAACACAGACAGAATAGCAACAAAAAATTCAAAAGAAATGCATGTCTAACAAATTATGCACTGATTTGCATGTTCATGGGGGAAATAAGTATTTGATCCCCTATCATTCAGCAGGATTTCTGGCTACCAGGTGTCTTTCATACAGGTAACAAGCTGAGATTAGAAGCAGTCTCTTAAAGGGAGTGCTGCTAATCTAATTTTGTTACCTGTACAAGAGCAATCAAATTCCAAAAGACGACCAAAGGTGTGTGTGTGTGTGTGTGTGTTTTTTTTTAAATCATTGATGGCACCATTGGATTACTGATATGTGAACGACGTTTTTGATTTTCAGACACCATTGAAAAAACAACGTTGTTCGGAAAAATTCAACCCATGTATGGCCTGCTTTAGTCTCCATAAGGTGAAAGACTTATCATTTGGACCATGCTCAATGAGGAGAGAATGGCAAAACCAAAAGAGAACCATATTAACATTTGAAGCCACATGGGCCCCATGAGTGAATAATTTCCTACCACCTAATTTTGACTACGGGTCTCTACACCGGTACTATAGTGATTGCCACCGTCTTCTGGGTCCTGTGCTCCTTCCACAGCAGTCCATCAGGTATATCATAAGAAAACAAACTGGTCCAAGCTGGATAAATGTAACTAGGCAAAAAAATCCATACCTGAAGTTCAACTTTAATATTAAAGTGTTACTAAACCCCCTGCACTATATCTGGTCTGCATTCACTATATCTGGTCTCCCCGGACCCTGCAATCACTATATCTGGTCTCCCAGGACCCTGCATTCACTATATCTGGTCTCCCCGGACCCTGCATTCACTATATCTGGTCTCCCCGGACCCTGCATTCACTATATCTGGTCTCCCCGGACCCTGCATTCACTATATCTGGTCTCCCCCCCGGTGCTCCCTGGTCTCCCCGGACCCTGCATTCAATATATCTGGTCTCCCCGGACCCTGCATTCACTATATCTGGTCTCCCACAGTACATGGAAATGCAATTATTTTAGTAAATATAAACTGCTAAATACCTTTTTCTCATCAGCAGTTAGAGCAGACTTGTGACTTCTATCAGTGTCCAGCAGAGCACGTTAAAGCTTGTAGGAGGAGTTTTCTTTCTGCTCTAGGAGGATGCAGAACCCCTGACCCTCTGTCTGGACAGTGCCGATAGGCCCTGTGCTGATCACATGTACTCACCCAAGAAAAAAAAACCCTCTCTAGCAATACACACCAAACTGAGCATGTGCAGAGTGTCTCCACACAATATATCTTATCAGGAGATAAGAGGGGGACACTGGAAAAAGGGGAGGATCAGAGAAGGCAGGATCAAACAGCGTTTTTACACAATGCAGAGGATTAACCCCTTAGGTTCCACAGTGAGAATAACAAGCATGCTTTACTGCATATACAGACTGATTTTACAGTTGTGGGTTTAGGAACAGGTTGATTACATTGTAAACCTATAATAACCCATAATGTATCTGAGACGTGGATGGCACAGACTGACAAGGGCTCTTTTACTTTTGTTGGCTGACACTTATGTGCAGTATGTGAAACACCAATGAAGTGAGTAAATAAGGCTGCTGTATACTATGGCCAACCCAACCATGGCTTCACAAATTCTGCAAACCCATATCCCTTACTGGGAATATGAAAAATACACACTGGCTGGGGGTAATACAGAAAAAACTCTTTTCAGATATCTAATACAGCTGCTCACATGCTTGATTTCTGCATATCCATACTGTTTCGGATTCTGTAAACTGAAATGTATAAAACTTAAACATTAGAGCCCCTATCACATGGATGTTCCGTCTGTTTTATCCACCAATAGACAAATGAATGAATTCCCATGGGCATACGGATGTAAATGGGCATCAACCGTTTACATCCATTTTTCATTCGCTTCCATTCAGGTCAGTTTTTTTAAAAAAACGGAACAAGTCTGGAGCAGATGAAAAACAGATGTAAACTGGGGATGCACCGAAATTTCGTTTACAGGTGCTGAAAATAGCCCCCCCCCCCCCCCAAGGTTTACCTGAGAACTCATTCCACTCATCTCTATGCCCTTGGAGGACCGGAGCACGACATTATGTCACTTCCAGTTCTGGCGCAATGCAGAAAAGGCCTTTTTTTTTTAAAGCACCAGATCAATGCTTTTTTTTTTTTTTTTTTTTTGATCTAATGCTTTACATTATAGAGGAGAGATGTGACCCCAGATCTCACCCTAAAGAGGACCTGTCATTAATTATTTCTATCACAAGGGATTTTGCATTCCCTTAAAAAATAAAGTGATAGAAAATATATTTTTAAAGGGACAATGTAAAAAAAAATTTTTAATAAAATAAGTGATAAATAAAAAAAAATGTAAAGTGCCCTTATCCCCATGCTCATGGGCAGTGGTGAACGCATACATAGGCCACACCCACATGTGTAATCGGTGTTCAAACTAGGGGTGCACCGAAATTTTGGCGGCCAAAAACCCCCCCATTGGACGTCGGCCGATATGAAAAAAAAAAGCGCCAATACAAGTGCCGGAAAAAAACCCCGCCCCCTCACTGCTGCCGTCCCTCGCCGCCCCCAACGGCCGTCGCTCGATAGTTCTCAGCCTTACCTGATAAACCATCAAACGATCCTGGGCATAGAGATTACTGAAGGAAAGATGGCCTCCACTCATTTCTATGCCCTTGGAGTACTGGAGCGATGTCAATTCTGGTTCCAGTGTCTTGCAAACAAGGCCATTTATTTTTCTTTCTAAAAGCACTAGCTCAATGTTTTGTTTTTTTATCTAATGATCTACATTGAAGAGGAGAGATGTGGGGTCCATTTACCCCATATCTCTCCATAAAGATATATGGGGTAAACTAATTATCTCTATCACAAGGGATGCATGCATTCCTTGTGATAGGAATAAAAGTGATTATATTTTTATTTTTTTTTTTAAAAGGGACAGTGCAAAAACAAAACAAAAAAAATTAAATAAAATAAAAAAAAAAGTTTAAAGTGCCCCCCGCCCCCCAGTGCTCACACGTAGTGGTGAACACATACGTAGGCCACTCCCACATATGTAAACGGTATCAATAAAAATAGGTGCAGCGCTTAAAACAAGGTATAATACATTAATAGATGCATATATAGATAAATATAAAGTGCAAAGTGATCATCACCACATGGGGACAGTATTGGTGGTAGATTGTCCAACATATAAGAACGTGAAGATCTCGTTAGATCACAACCAACGTGCTTGGATATCTAATCCAGGGGTGACAGATGATGTGTCTGAATAAGTGAAATGCGCACTCACCAGAAGCACGCTTTAAACACGCATTTGAGATTAATATAGTCTCATCAAGTATAATCAGGTCATCTGCTCCCAGGTCAGGTTCCTATACACCTCTGGGTCTTTGAACAGGTATCACAGCATCTGGTCACATCTACATTAGACTCTCTGGGTCTCTTGATAGGTATCACCGCGTTGAGTCACCTCTATAAAAAGGCTCTGTGAATAACGGCACTCACAGAGAGAGTCCAACAAAGGATTCCACAAAGGATTCCACATAGCGTGATACTGTATAAAGGGGTTTCTTTATTTCACAAAATAAGGTGTATAGTACAAAGGAAGGACACTGACCATATGTAATTCAGGATGGCCACCAGCGGTGGTGTGATGTCTGGATGCTGTAGCCTCCCCCGATGCGTTTTGTGCGAAGCACTTACTCATAGGGTGCAGGCTTACCTCCTTGTTTTATATGTAAATGGTGTTCAGACCACGCACATGAGATATCGAAGCGAGAGCAATAATTCTCCCACTAGACCTCCTCTGTAACGTTACACTGCTAACATGTAGAAATTTTTAAAGTTTCACCCATGGAGATTTTTAAGTACCACAGTTTGACGCCATTCGACGAGCGTGCGCAATTTTAAAGCGTGACATGTTGGGTATCTATTTACTCACCGTAACATTGTCTTTCATATTTTACAAAAAAATTGGGGTATATTTTTGTTTTTTTTTTAATCAAAGTGTATTTGTTTTCCCAAAAAATATATATTCATTTAAAAACTGCGCATTTCGGTTTTGGTCAAGTGCATTTTGTATTTTCAGTTTCAGTACCAAAATTTTCATTTCGGTACACCACTAGTTCAAAACACACATGTGAGGTATCCCTGGGAACATCACAGCGAGAGCAATAATTCTCGCACTAGACCTCCTCTGTAACTTTAAACTGGTAACCTGTAGAAATGTTCAAAGCGTCACCCATGGAGATTTTTAAGTACAGTAATTTAGCACCATTCCATGAGCTTGTGCAAATTTAAAGTATGACATGTTTGGTATCTATTTACTCGGTGTAACATCATCTTTCATATTGTACAAATAAATTGGGGTATATATATTGGGTTTTGTTTTTTTTATTCCATAAAGTGTATTTTAAGATGGATAAAGTGTATTTTAAGATGGATGCGAACTGAAGCAAACTCTTAGCAAAAACGTGACTGAAGGGATGATGCCTAAGTGAAAGAAGCCTAAGGCCTACTCCATGGGGAACAGAACACACATGCACTACAGAGCAGCACACAGTAATGCACTAATAAATGGAGCGTGTCTGTTTTACATCTGGTGTGGCGTTTTAAAAGCCCAGTCAAATAAGCAAGCTGCACCAAAGCACCACAATGAACTGGATAGGTGTGAATTATCCCTAAGGATTGGCTAAGAGTATCAAACCCAACTGGCTAAGTGTATTTCAAAAGACTGGTCAGCTAAGGAGTACTTGCCAAGGTTGTGGATATTCTGCAGACACATTATGACATGTGTGACTGACATCGCCCAGGACAGCTGATCATCATTTCACTTCTATACAGAAAAAAAAAAAAAACCCATTGTTGCAACATAAAGTCAACTGACTTCAGACTTCTGAGAAAAAAAGGGAATTCAATTGCAACACCGCAAAAGTCACATCCTCATCAGTATTTTCAGTTCAACCTCCATTCCTACAGAAGCCAGTATTGCTATTGCCCATATAAAATTTCACCCCCCCCCCCCAATAAAAAAAAGTAGACATTTTGACTCATCAGTCCAGAGCACCTGCTGACATTTTTCTGTACCCCAGTTCCTATGGTTTTGCACATAGTTGAGTTGCTTAGTTTTGTTTCCATGTCCTATGCACGGAAACATAGGAACTGGGCTGCAGAATAATGGCAGTAGGTGCTCTGGACTGATGAGTCAAAATTGTAAAATATTTGGCTTTAGCAGGAGGCAGTTTGTTGTGAAGGGCTGGAGAGCGGTACTATGAGTGTCTGCGGGCAACAGTCAAGCTTGGTGGTGGTTCCTTGCAAGTTTGGGGCTGCATTTCAACAAATGGAGTTGGAGATTTGGTCAGGATCATTGTGTCCTGAGTACTAAAAAATACAGGCAGATTCTTATCCATCATGTCATACCATCAGGAAAACATGCGATTGGCCCCAAATTTATTCTGCAATAGGACAACAACCCCAACCATACAGTCAACGTCATTAAGAACTAAAACAAACAAGGTACCCTGGAAGTGATAGTTTCAACATCATGGAGTCTGTGCTTAGTTCTCAAAGATGTTCGGAACAACCTGCCCAGCTTCTTCAAAAACTGTGTAAGTGTACCTAAAAGAATTGATGTTGTTTTGAAGGCAAAGGGTGGTCACACCAAATACTGATTTGATTTGGATTTCTCTTCTGTTCATTTACTTTCCATTATGTTAAAGCAGAGCTCCACCCAAAAGGGGAAGTTCCGCTTTAAGCCTTTGTCCCCCGCTCCCCATTAAGGATTGGAACCTTTGGCAGGGGGAGCTGTACCCGAATTTGACAGGCACCCCCTCCCACTTCCGCTGCGATCGCCTAGGTGATCAGAAGCGGAAGTTTTCCTCCCTCCCCGTAGTCTTCTGGGACACGTGACAGGTCACAGAAGACAAGGGGCCATTCACGAAACACAGCGATTCTCACGCATGCGCAGTGGGCACCCGGCTGTGAAGCTGCAAGCTGTCACAGCAGGCTGCCCACACTGAAGATACCGGTGCTAGGGAGAGAAGACGGCCCGGTGAAACCAGCGGTGGTGAAGACACCGCTGGACCGAGGGACAGGTAAGTGGCTGTATTTTAAAAGTCAGCAGCTACAGTTTTTGTAGCTGCTGACATTTACTTTTTTTTTCCAGTTGGAACTCCACTTTAATTGATAAAAATATACTGTGAACACTTCTATTTCCTGAAGGCATTCTTAGGGTTCGTTCACACTTGACTTTATTTCTAACTCTTGCCAAACGCCCCCATAGCGTTTGACAAGCGTTAGGCTACGTTCACACTAGCCTTGTGTGCAGGCGGCAGAGAGGCGTTTGGTAAGCGTTTTTACCGCTTCCCAAACGCCTCTGCCAATTCTGCAC